GGAAGCTTGGCCTTTAGTTTAGGTTTATTCCCAACTAGCTCTAATAAGTTAAATTAATCTGATTCTATTAATTTATGTTCTGCCACTTGGCATTTTACCTGTCCTCCATTACATATGTCCAAATTACACCTTGTTTCTTTGGGATCTCTTCACCTCTTTCTCCCTGGAAATTGCACCTATTTTCCCTCCTGCCTAGCTATTGGGCAGTCTGCTCTTTAATAAACAATTCATACAGTGCACAAAATGATTACCCCACAACCACAGGGAGCATGGTGGTATGCAGGTAGGCAGGCATCGTGCTGGAGAAGGAACTGCTACATGTTGACTCTGGGCATAGCTAGAGCATATATGAGACCTCAAAGCCTGCCTCCACAATAACACACTTCGTCAAACAAGACCACACCTACTCCAACACGGCCACTCTTTGGGAGCCATTTTCTTTCAGACCACCACATTCCAATCCCTGGCCACCAAAGTTTCACAGTCATATCATATTGCAAAAATGCATTCAATCCAGCTTCAAAAGTCTCCATAGTATGTAACAGTCTCAGACTTACTTAAAAGTCTAAACTGCAATGTTTCTTCTGAAATTCACACAATCTTATAAATGTAATCCCTTGTAAAATCAAAATCAAGCAGTAGGTCACAAACGAACACACAATGGCACAGGATATTCATTACCATTCCAAAACACAGGGAAGACATCACACACAGAGATCCATGTATCTCTTAATCCTGAGTCCTAGGGTTAAAGGTGTGTACCACCACTTCACGTCCTAGTGTGTGACTGCTGGGATCAAAGGTTTGTGTCATCACTGCCTGATGTCTATAGCTTGAGGCTGACTTTGCTTTTCTGAATCTTCAGTCAAGCCTTAAAAATCATAAATAATACATCACTACAACTACAAGTTATCCTTGCAGAAATCATGATTATGTAGACTATTATTTCTCCAAACCAACTGCAAGAGTTAAATTCTGTGAAGTTCTTAAAAGCCATTTCAAAATAATTTTTCTCCCTAAATATGCATGTTGCAGTGCACATATCACCATGAAGCCTAAGTTTGCATTTGTATTAATTAAAAATATCAACCTTGGGTCAGGAGATGGAACTAGCATCTGGTTATCATGAAGTGGTCCTAGAGGTTTCTGGAAGATGATAGATACACAGGTAGTAGTAGTAGAGAGGAACTTTGAGTGTGGCAGTCCTATTTGGTTTGGTACCTCAGAAGAAAGCGTGCTTTTGGAGATGCTGTTGAAAAGGGAAGGTCATCTAATTGCTCTTCAACCTCTCTGAGCTAACAGGTTTTCACCCCAGCCTCTGACTCCTGGGTCTTAATGACAAATAGAATGGTAGAGATTTATTTAAAAGTACATTTAAGCTGGGCATTGGTGGCTCATACCTTTAATCCAAGGTAGGCAGAGGCAGGGGGAATCTCTGTTAGTTCGAGGCCAGCCTAATCTACAGAGCGAGTTCCAGGACAGGATCCAAAATAATACAGAGAAATCCTGTTTCGAAAAGCAAACAAAACAAATAAGTACATTTATTGGAGAGGCCAAAACCCAGCCTGGAAGCAGCCTCAGAGGAAGGCTGGAGCTTCAGGTCCAGGAGTGAGGAGTGATCAGCAGGTGAAATGACAGCAGTGATTTCCAGAACAGTCATCTTCTAAAAAAGCAGTCTTTTCTCCAATAGTATCTTTGTAGAGTTCTAAAGTATGTAACTCTGACTGTGTGCATTTATTTTTGAAAGCTCTTCTGTATTCCATGGCTTTATAAATGCTTTTCATGCCATTATCATGTAGTGTTTGTTACTTTGGCTCTACAATATCTTTGGAGATTAGGTGTCATATACCCCAAGCAGTAGTCTTAACATCATGAAGCATATGAAGTGATGAAGGCAGAAAAAAGTGATCTTTTATGCATCTAGATTGACAAAAGATTTTATTTGACAGATCAAAATGTGATGGCATAATTGGCTGTCTGTTAACCAGCCTTATATATAAACAATGTCTTTTCACTCCTCATAAGGGTTCTCATTACAATGTATGATTTCACCATATATTACTCTGGGGAACCAGGTAATTTATTGAGCTTCTTTACAACACATAGACCAGGAATTATTGGCAGGAATGTGGGTGACTGGGAGCAGCCACACAGGAAACTATTCACCCAGCATGAAAGATGGCTCCCCCATAGTCACATGGAATGAACCCCCTCCCTAATCTTTCTGAGCATATACTCTACTGGGTCCTGCCAACCATCAAGCTGTGTGAAATTCAGGAAAATTTTACACAACTGGATGGGAGGAGTGGCTGGATTCTCTGGTGAGGGTCCAAGAACTTTCTTATTCTTTCTTTTTATGTGGGTACATCAACATCTCATCCCAGCAGAAAGTAAGATAACTAGAATACAATCAATCAGTCTCTAGATCCAAGAGATTCGTATGTGCATCCTGTAATTTTTTTCTGCTAGGAAAATCCTCTTTTGATAATTTTCTTGAACAATTTAAGTCCTTATTGATTTGTGAAATTTGAAATAAATTACTTAGCTTTTGGAGTAATTTATTGCAAACCTTGGCCAGTTTGCATCTCCCAGCAATTTTGAAATTAATTAGGAGTTTGTAATGGATCTCTTCTGATTTGGACTTTCTTTGGTCACATTTTCTGTAAACCTGTCTTTTATTCTAGATAATTGATAGAATCTTACCTGTGCATTTTTTTTCAGGAGCAATTTGTAATCTCCAATAAGGCAGAATTCTCTTTACTTTATCAGACATTTTTTCTAAGGGATCAGCACCCAATTCTGCCAGTAAGATATTATCCATATAATGGTAAATGATAGATTGAGGAAACTGTTTATAAATTATTTCCAATGGCTGTTGTATAAAATATTGACACAAAGTGGGGCTTTTAACATTCCTTGTGGAAATACCCTCCAATGGAACCTTCTGACATGTTGAGAATTATAATTAGGTACTGTGAATGCAAACTTTTCTTTATCCTCAAATTTAGCATTTCTATAGGATTCCATTTAACTCCTTGATAGCCTTGGTGGTGCCTATCATTTGCTGGCAGTTCTTGTATAGGGACTGGATGAACTAAGGTTGGTTTTCTAGTAACCATGGGCCTCCCTCCTTCAGTTTGATCATGCAATTATTCCATATGTTCTTGTCTAAATTCCTCTGTCTATGTCTTGGTATCATTTTTATCTTCATTAATAAGTCTTCTTGTCTAAATTCCTCTGTCTGTGTCTGGGTATCATTTTTATTTTCAATAGTAAATCTTTCTAAGGCCTGTATCCTATCGGTCAACTTTTTATCCCATGATTCTGACATCTCTAGCATCTTGGTAACTCCAAGACAATCCAGAATTACCTTCACAGCTTCATACAATGGCGTCTCTAAGCCTCCAACAGGGCCACTTCTGACACATGCCTGGCATCAATGGCGTTCCTTATTCTCCAGGGCAAATTACATAACTCCTTTCTTCTATGCTTAATTTTAGAGCCAGAACCACATGGCTGAAGCTGACACGTCTGCTGCTTTGGCACTGGAACAAGCACTGCTGTCCAGTGACATCTTCACCAGATTTCTGTTTACCACCTTCCCTCCCTGAGCATAGCTGTCCTGAAACTAGATCTGTAGACCAGGCTGACCTTGAACTCAGAGATTTGTCTGTCTTTGACTCTTCCTGTGGTGGATTAAAGGTGTGCAAAACCACATGGAGCTCTAAGCTTTTCTTTAATTCCTTTCACAAGTTGGAAGTTTAGCTGAGCAGGATCTTGCCTTGAGTCACCACTCCCTTTATTTCATTTCTTAGTCTGTCTTTTTCTTTAAACCCGGGACTTAGCTCTCTTCTACTTCCTGCTGCCCATTTTCTTCTCAAAAGCAAAATTTTGCAGACATACATGGAGCTGGAGAAGTAACTGAGGTTCCTACATCTTTCAGGAAACAAGAAGTGGTCTGTTTCACTGGGCATAGCTTGGATATATATGAGACTTCAAAGTGTGCTTCTACAGTGGCACACTTCCTCCTACAAGGCCACACCTACCCCAACAAGCTGTCCTGAGACATACTTCCTAAGCTTTCATCAGCATGACTGGGTGGGCAAACATCCCCAGGTTCTAAGAAACACTCCAGTCCATGGGATCTCATTCTGTTTTCTGTACTCTGCAAGTACCTGGCATGCCCCTGGTGACAGATATACATGCTAGCAAACCACGCACACACATAAAATTCATTATGTTAATTTTAAAAATAAAGAATTTAGGACACATAAGATACTCAATTTGAGGAGGTCTCTTTTATTGGGTCTTGCAAATATAATGTTCCCAGGACAGGGATGGAGAACACAAATTCCTGTACTATGTTGTCTCAGGGTCTGTTTCTGTCATTTTGCAAGGAGGAGTCCTTCAATTTAAGCAATCTCCATTCTGCAAGTGGAAAGTCTCTAGAAGCATTTACCTAATGATTTTTTGTCAGTAAAAACTGAACATCACATAGCAGGGTAAAAACCTGAATGATCAGAGAATCAACCAGTGACCTCCTCTCTTTATTTCCTCAAGTTGAAAGACAATCTTTCTGAACTCCTCCCTCCTATGGCTAATTTAAATCAATCAGAAGCTAGCTCTACCTTTTGATTCAAAATAAACTTTATCAGCAGTCCTAGGATTGCTACAGTAGAGTGCAATCAAAATATTCTACTACAGTCTCTTCTAGTACTTAGCACCTGAACTGTGCATGTCTACCCTAGTGCAGAGTTAACAGGACACCTGGAGTGAACACCTTTACAGCTAGATTCCCGTACTGGAAAGAAGCTTGGGATCAAACATGGATAGGCACCCAGTATGCTTTGCATCCTGTTGACTTACACCTTGGTACCCTGCCATGCAGAGATATAAGGTTCCCACTAGATTTTCCTTTCTCCAGGACCCATTGTTTCCCAATCCCCACTCATCTCAACTGGGCAGAGCCAGACCTCGATGAGGTCAGATCATTTCCTCTTCCCATGGCCTGGGGATCTCAGCAGGATGTCCACACCCCACAGTGAATAAAGAGGCTTCCTGAGACATCTGAGAAGCACTCCAGGACGAAACCTTGAACCCAGTGCTGGGAGACTGTGAAATTTGCAGGTGAGTGTGCATGGCTCAGTCCAGGGTTGTGGTTCCCGTAGGAGCCACCTTTAGAAGGCTCACACTGAGTCAAGGTGATGGAAATCCAGGACCTAGATTTAGGAAAAGATATAGAAAAATGGGGTGTCTAGTGGGTGTTTATAGATGTGATCTCTTTAGAAATCCCAGTTGACCAGGTAACAATGCTGCACTTAGTGCTGAGGTCGTGGAGCTGTATTGACTCAACTCAGGTAGGCATAGATTATACAGGAACTCAGTGAGCTTCTCCACTGTCCTCTGTCCTGCTTCCTCTCATGTCCTATCACCTAGCCCATTTGAATGCCTCTGCCCTATTCTCAAGGTTCTGCAAAATACTGTCTCTTACTTCTGGGCCCTTTGAGATGTGCATGCCTGACTGCAATCTGATCACTGTTCATTCCATTTTTAAAATGTCACCAAATGTTCACTGAATACACTAATTCCAACCTTTATCTCGAACATGCTTCAGGTGCTTAGAATCAATGTGCCAGACATCCCTTGCCTTCAGAACTCTGGCTATGGTGGAGACAGCAATCAGTAAGACAAAGGATTGTACTTAGAAGTGAAGAAAGAAATGGCATAGGCAGGAGGATTGGAGTAGCAGAGCAGAGACCCTGAGGTTGTCCTGTCCCAAAGAAGGAGGGACATGTGCGTAATTTGAACCTAGTGACAGTGATGGGACAGATGACCTTTTCAGTGGAATAAACACCACTTCAAGGATTCATGTAATGTTAAGGGGATATAAGGATGGGCAGGAGTGAATTGCAGAACAATCAGAAGAGAGGACCAACCGGAGGGTACGTCATTGATATAAAGCAGCCCCAACTTCCCTGAAGAGCCTTGGAGGACTTATGAGGATGATCAGTTGACCTAGGCACAGTACCAGGCTGCTGTGTCCTTCTGTCTGGGGATAGGGAAGAAGAATGGGTTGTGATATTCTGAGGATCCCTAAGCTGTTTGAGCTGAATTTCAACAAATTAGAAAGCACTCCAGAAGACACATGCACTGTTCCAAGGTCATGTGACAGTGAGAGCACAGCCACGGGAAGTGAAGGGACCCAGATTACAGTTACGGTGTTCGGGAGCAGTCATGGAGTCTGGACAAAACTGTGCAGTCACGTAGAAGATGAGGCGTGCTGAGGAGTAAAGCAGCCTGGGTGCTGTCGGATGATCAAGTCACCTGAGCAGCCACTGCAGGGGGATGCTCCCTGCTGCACAGTAGAGCTGGTGACACCAGCCTGTCTTAGGGTCTCATTCAGCGTCTCAGTGTCTTTCCTGCTGCATGTCTGTTTTCTTCTTCCCTTCCTCTTCTCTTCCTCCTTCTCGGTATCCTTGACTCCACCATCTTCACGGACAGGGGACGGACAGTATAGAAGGAGACTAGAGTCCACCTCTCTCAGCTGTGTCCTGTGTGTGCAGTCCTGAAGACCTGATGATGCACAAGCTGGTGTGGTCTGCTGCCTTGGCCACATTTCAATAATAACCTTAAAACTGGAGAGTCTGTGACCAAAAATGAATTTTACAAATCCAATTTAAGTACTTAAGAGTTTTGAAATGAAAACCAAAAGTCGATAGAATCGCAGATTCACTGAATCAGATCAATGAACTGTCAATTTTGTGTTGAGTATCAATTCTCTTTTGCCCCCAGACTCTGCATCATGAATACTCTGTGTGAAGCAAATGGCTCCTTTGCCATCAGTCTTTTAAAGATCCTGGGTCAAAACAACCCTACGGGAAATGTGTGTTATTCTCCTGTGAGCATCTCCTCTGCTCTAGCTATGGTCCTCTTAGGGGCCAAGGGAGACACTGCAGTCCAGATAACTCAGGTAAGTTGTCTGTGACCCCACAGCTGCTTCCCTTGCCTGAGAGCTGCTGTGAAGGGAGGGTAGGACTATGCACACACCGTTTCATGGGGCAGGGGATAAAGAGACGGGAGACAATCTCCTCCAGTGTGACTTCTTTAAGGGCAATGTTTTTTCATGGAATAACTTGCTTTCAGACTTTACTCAGAAAATGCTGCATAAACAGTTTCGTGTTAGGCATGTGGCACAGATCTTTAATTCCAGATCCTAAGGAGACTGAGACAGGAGGATCATATGTCTAATACTAACTGGGAAGCTTAGTTCCAAATGAGGTTGTTTTGCTTTTTCTTCAATGGAAGGAGGGTGTTGTAGTCACAAGTCAATGTTAGAGATCTTGTTTAACTTGTTTGAGACCTTATGTTTAGCCCAAAGTATTTCCACAGGAAAAAAATATTTTTGAAAATGTTTGAAACACAGGTTTCTTAGATCTAATTCAGTTTTAGAGCAATAGGAGGTTAATACCTGCTTTTAATTGTTTTGATAAAAAACCTCCCATGCATCAGATCCTCACGTACATCACTGTCTTAACCTTCTATTTAGCTTGCAAATTTTGTTTACAACCAAAATGTCTCATTACTGACCTGATACTATTTCATTTTTTTATTCACAGATACTTGGTTTAAATAAAGAGAAAGACATACATCAGGGCTTCCAGAGGCTTCTCAGTAACCTGAACAAGACAGACAGAAAGTATATCCTTCGCATGGCCAACAGGATCTTTGCAGAGGATGCTTGTGAATTACCCCCAGTAAGTTGAATCACTACAATGACATCAATTACATTCAAAATGCTTGTTTCTATAGATTCCAGGAGAGGGATCTCAGACAACGTGGGGAAATTAAGAATCAACTTTCAGCCAGAGGGATGGTACCCATGTATAATACCTGCATTTAGAAGGCTGAGGCAGGAGTGTCATGAATTCTAGGACAGCATAGGCACATAGTGAGGCTCAAGTCCCTTCCCTAGGCAAATACCAAATTTCTATAATGATACATTGAAATATTTTAAATGAATTTGCAATTTTTATTTAATCAGGTCTGGTTATTCCCACTTACAAAAGCCTAGGTCATGAAGATGTTTGTTGCTTAAAGTGATATTTAAACACATTCTACATTTTTAATGCCATACTATTCAGAAGGTCAGGAACACTGCTGACACTTTATTTTGCAATACTACCTCCCTGAACATTTTTCTCTCCAAAGACCTTTAAGGAGTCCTGTCTTCAGTTCTATCACTCGGAGATGGAGCAGCTGTCCTTTGTCAAAGCTCCAGAGGAGTCCAGGAAACACATAAACACGTGGGTCTCCAAACAGACTGAAGGTCAGAATTTCAAGTTATTTCACACCCCTCCTTCTTGTCCTTTCCATCCATCCCTCCCTCTTCTTCCTTCCCTCCTCTTTCTCTTAACTGTTCACTTTTCCCACCATTGACTAATATGTTATTTCAGAGAGTCTAGCATCATTACATGTGGCATAAGTTAGATCTTAGTAAATTCTTGGGGGCTTGATTCAGACACTTAGATTTTTAAAGTAGAGTTCTTTGTTTATTTCTTCAGAGTGGCAGGTACAAATGTTATAAGAACTCATGGGTCTGATTTCCAGTAGAAGACAATGGTGGTCTGCAGTATTTGCAGGTCAGGTGACTCCACAGTCTCTGAGATGGAGATTCCCCATAATCCTACACTGGACTGTATCTTCGGCAGTCTGTGTTACTTCAACTCCCACCAATTTATATCTGAGGAGGACTCCTGTTTCTGACTCCACATTTCCTGCGTCAGATCCCTTAATTACATTTGCAGAAACTAGATATAATTTCCATTGAAGACACTCTGTCAGGGCTGCTCAGGTACATTAACCTAAAAGAGTTTTCCCTGATCTTTAAGCCATTCAAATACCTGTATTTCCATTTTGGCTAACAGAGAGACAGTAAGAATGGGCTTAAAGATCGCACAATTATTTGCATTTCTTGTTGGAGTCTTTACTTTTGGTCACTCATGATGTTACCAAACAGCAAGGCTTCTCTTGACCATTGATAGTTTTCCACTGAATGTAGAAGAAGGGAATCTGTCCTCTGACCTGCGTTATTCCTTCCATCGATGGAAAGTGTAGAATAGCAGTACCTACTCAGCAAACTACTTTCTTTCTTTGAGCCTTTGATATGCTGTGTGGGTCTGGAATCAACCAAGAGACATGTCTCTGGGCAGGGCTGTGAGGATATTTCCCAGATAGAGTAACTATAGGAGAGGAAGCTCCCCAGAGTGGGCAATTCCTTCCTGTGCTACTCTGATATAAAGGACTGAGAAAGAAACAGTCGTGCTTTTGTTGCTGCCTTCAATCCTTGCTGGTTAGTGCATCTGCATTGTTCACACCTCTGCACTTGACGTTTTCAGTTGATACTGGAACTCAGTGGCTTTGGCCTTGAGGTGGACTAAGAAGAGTGGCTTTCTAGAATCTTTAGGTTTTCCATGCCAGGCTGAGTCTAATAAGGTCTCTAGGCTCATAGACAACTGAACATTTACCAGAGCCTCAGTCTCTACATGAAGGTGGTCAGACAACCCAGCCTGTTTTGTGTGAGCCTTGCTATTAAAACAATGTGTAATTTGTATTCATTCTGTGCCTGTACAGAACCCTGACTAATACACTAATGTTAAATATAGTGTCTCATTTAGCACTCCATGGTCATGACCAGTTCTAGCACAGATATCTTATCAGTTTATTTCTCACCTGTGTATAAAATGAAGTCTCTGCTTCCTCAAAAGGGAAAATTCCAGAGTTGCTGTCAGAAGACTCCATTGATTCAAAGACCAGGCTGGTTCTTGTCAATGCTTTATATTTCAAAGGAAGGTGGCAAAAGCCTTTTCAAAAAACATGCACAAAGGAAATGCCTTTTAAAATAAACCAGGTAAGGAACAGTATCCAAAGGTTCATGCCAGTGTGATGAGGAAATACATAGAAACTTACAATCATGAATGTGTAGCTCTGGGGCTTATTAGTAGAGATCACATGTCCTGAATGAAGTACAGGACTTGATCCTTGGGCCAGAAAGAAGAAAAGAACAGCACAGAAAAACATCTGAAACTTATATTTCTGAATGAAAGGTTAAACTCTGTAGAAAAATGATAGGAATATAAAGCATTTACTGCCTATACTGTTTTGCAACCTTTTGGTGGCTATTATTGCTTTTGACAATTTCTCATGTGACTATTGCTTCTACCTAAACTAAACTAAATTTTATGTATATTCGGGAATGACAAAACTTAGCTGCTAAGATAGTATATGTACAAAGTGTGATACATAGTAGAAAGGAATATAGGAACATTAATATAAGTAAGTATGTGTAACTAAATAAGCATTTTAAACTATTGGTAAATTTGTCATTACTAAGAAGTAATGATAACACTGAAACAGATTGACTCAATTTCAAGGATCAGGTTTTTAATTAGAATTAAGGTAGATATTGAAATAGTTTGTTTAATCTCTATAAAAGTACAATTTAAGAAGTTTAGAACCTTACTAATGTTAAACTCTCCATTCACTTTTTCTTTATTATAAGTACTTTAAAATTTATTAAACAATGATTTCTTTTACTGGGAAATTTAAACTTTATTATAAATGGCTTATACCAATGTTTTACTTTTAATACACCAAAATATTAATGTAATCAAAATATTCCCAGATAGCCCACTTTTATTCTTAAAACAGACATCTGGACTATCACAACAGAAATAGTTGGATGAAACCCCAGGAAGATTCATGAGGTTCTGTCCAGGCAGTCCCTAAATTGTAAAGGATTGACAAGAACCTTCTGCCTGTGATGGGTCATCGGACAATAATCGCATCACAAAGATACATGGACATCTGTCCAGAGGGTCCCCAACTTGTACTAATTCAATTACTTCTCTCTGACTGGCTGTCAGGATGGAGCTCCACATGAGTCTGTAAGTGTCTGTGCTCTGGAGCTCTCTGCTCTGTGATGGTTTTGAAGGTTGTGACCCACAATGAAACTTTGAGCATGTGTGCTCCTGCTGCCAGTCTGAATTCTGAGAGGATGGATCTGTCTGGAGTCCTGTTCACACCACTGTGAAAGCATTCCAGTCTACTTGATGAAAGTTTTTCTGTTATTTATAGTTAATTATGCTGCTTCTTTAGATACAATGGTCGGCAATATAAAATGGTGAAAACTCTTATTCTTATGTATTAGTAATCTCTTCTTGAGACAGCCAGTGTAAAGTAAGAAATATTTAATGTGGCTCAGGGTTCCAGAAGTTTCACCTGGGTCACTTGGTCCAATCATTCTCTTGGTTCAGGTCCTGCAGTACATCATGGTAGAGGCTTGTTAAGCTCACAGCAGTCAGGAAGCAAGCAAGCAAACAAACAAACAAACAAAAAACCAGAGGGAATTGCAGTGAAAATATCCCTATAGGGGGTCCAATACCTAACTGTCTCTCATTATGCCCTATCTCCTAATGCTTTATCCAGCTCCCAGAGTTTGAACCTGTGGGAAAAGGCTTTGGAACACGAGCCTTTGTGGACCATGTTAGACAAAACTATGATTTTGAAATATTAATATATGAATGGCACACATCATATTTCCCTAGTAAATTCTTGTACTGGTTCTAATTTTGTCAACTTGATATAAGCTACAGCCATTTGAAAAGGCAGACTTTACACTTACAAATTGCCACCATTAATATTGGAGTTGAGGCATGTCTTTTGGGCATTTTCTAAATCAATGATTGCTGTGAGCCCAGCCCACTGTGGTAGGACCAACTCTGGGCAGGTGGTCATGAGCTGTGTAAGAGAGCAGGGTGAGAAATCCATGGGGAACAAGCCAGTAAGTAGCATGCCTCCATGGCTTCTGCCTGAGTTCCTGCTCTGCCTTCCCTCATGATTGAATGTGACCTGAAAGTTGTAAAATGAAGCTACCACCTTCCTCCCTGAGTTGCTTTTGGTCATGGTGTTTTATCACAACTGTAGAGACCTCATATGCAACCGTCTTATATCTATTTACAACAATTATTTTCATGGAAGCAGGAAGAGGCTGGCAGACATTGACTAAGTGTTCACTGCATCATGAATAGTGTTTACATTGGGAGTGAGGAAAACACTCCTGGCATTAACTGCAGCTCTTTTTTCAGTAACATCTTCTTATGTTCTGGAATCATTTGTTCAGAAGGAGAAACGGCCAGTGCAGATGATGTGTCAGGAGGACACTTTTAACCTCGCCTATGTGGATGAAATACAGGCACAGGTGCTGGTGATGCCCTATGAGGACATGGAGCTGAGCATGGTGGTCCTGCTCCCAGATGATGGTGTGGACCTCAGCAAGGTGAGGCAGGAGAGTTTGTCATCTAGAAACGTCCAGTGTCTTTTCTCATTAAAAGAAAACTCAAAGTTTTCACCTTCACAACTTCCATGTGAACAGGCAGCACTACTAGACTGAGCTTCCAGCTGTGTGCAGACCCAGGGTTTGGAGACCAAATTGTGCTCAAGACTTCGATTGTGGGTTGTGTGATCTTGTCATATGATAAAACACTTCATCACTAGAGTATGAGATGGTTACCAGATAGGATGACATGAGGATAACTCAGGCAACAAACTTAGCACAGTGCTTGGAAAATAGTTTCCCTCTGTAAATATAATTACATGATTATTTTTGTTATTATTCTATTTTAATATCTGAGAACATAAAATCGAGAGAAAAAATACTGCACTTTACCCTAACAAAGAGGAAGAGAAGGAGTGACAGCTGGGGATAGCAGAGTCAGGAAATCATTATGGGGCATCCTAGTATTCCTTGAAGCTGGATACTCCACAGTATGTCAGTTAACCTCTGAACAGTGGGCACTGGAGTGTGCATGACCTAACGGGGCTTTGCAGCAGAAAAGCTCCCCTGGGTCTCCCCATCCAGCTCACTAACTGCAGCAAGGCTTCTGTAGTGCTAGTTAGTTTTCATCACTGACAAAATGCCTGTCGTAAATAACCTAGAAGAGGAGGGATTTATGCTGGCTCACTGATTCAGAGGGTTCATTTTAAGTTACCTGGTCCATCAATGGTTTCCATGGTGATGGGTGCATGTGGGAGATTCTACAAACCTTTAGTAAACAGGAAACAGAAAAATAAGAGGGGAGGAAAGACCAAGGACAACCTTCATAGGTACCCTTCTGTAACTACTTCCTTCATTCAGCTAGACCCCCTCATGCCTAAATTATAGCTGCCAAACAAAAAGGTACAAAGAACTTCAGAACAAGAAAAGACCTCCCTTCCAGTGCATTTAGGAGAGGACAGCCAGTCCTTCCTACTCCCACCCAAGGATTGTTTTGTCTCCATATCCATCAGGGAAGTCACATACAAGCTAGCAGAACAGTGAGACCTCACACTGCCTGGCCCTCTGAAGAGGCAGTGCCCCCTGCAGGATGATGAGGGTACTGTGAGCAGGAAGTGACTATGAGGCTCTGGGTGAGACCTTGACTGTGAACCTGAAAATCTCTGACTCTGCTTTGTCAGGTGGAAAACAATCTCACTTTTGAGAAGTTAACAGCCTGGACCAGACCAGACTTTATGGAGAGAACTTACCTTAAGGTTTTCCTTCCAAAATTCAAACTGCAAAAGGATTATGACATGAAGTCCTTGCTTCAGCGATTGACAATGGTGAATGTGTTCCAAGAGGGCAAGGCTAATCTGTCAGGAATGTCTCCCGAGAGAGACCTGTGTCTGTCCCAGTTTATCCACAAGAGTGTTGTGGAGGTCAACGAAGAAGGCACAGAGGCTGCAGTAGCAATATCCGAAGCATGGGTGTTGTGTTCTGAAAATCCTCCCCCTAAATTCTGTGCAGACCACCCCTTCCTTTTCTTCATCAGGCACAATGAAACCAATAACCTCCTGTTCTGTGGCAGGTTCTCATCTCCATAAAGATACATTTGCTATGTGGGAAACAGTTCTCTCTTCAGCATCTTGACAAATCTTACCACCCTGTGAGGATAGGCATATATGGGGAAAGCATGTTCAAGGTGAGGGCCGAGCAGCCCCAGGTCTGTTCCTGAGTGTGGGAGTGTGGACGATGGAAAGTCTAGCTAAAAGGGTTAAGAATCAGAGACACAGGATATCTGTCAGGAGAGTAGACTCAGTCCATACTGAATGTGCGTTACTATATTCATATACCATCTTAAGTATTCAACCAACAGTAAGGAAAGAAAGGCAGAAAACTTATGTTATCATGTATAAAGGGACAAAGAGTCATTAAGTCCTTTAATCCTTCAGGTCCTCTATAGTCTCACTTACCACTAGGCCTTCAGGATGAGAGAAAACTTGCCTGGTCCCAACTCTCTTGTTATTTAGATAGGAAACATTCACCACCAAGTCCTAGGACATCCTGCAGTCCTTAAATTAATGTCTTAAGAACATTAGAAGTGATTTGAGCTGTCTAAAATCCTGACAAGGTGGAATGGACTCCCATGTATGGGTCCCATCATGTCTGACTGCTGGGATTAAGGAGTGTGTCACCACTGCCTGATCTCTACTTCTTGAGGTTGACTTTGCTTTTCTGAATCTTCAGTCAAGCCATAATAAATCATAAATAATAAATCACTACAACTAAATGTTTTCCTTGCAGAAATCATGATTATGTAGACTATTGTGTTCTCCAAAGCAGCTGTAATAGTTAAATTTTGTGTCGTCCTTAACAGCCATTTCAAAATAAATTTGTTTTATTGCCAACTATGTGTGTTACAGTGTGCCTAAGTTTGTGTTTGTACTAATTAAAATATCAGCCTTGATTCAGGAGGTGGAGCTAGCATCTAATTATCATAAAGTGGTCCTAGAGAATCAGAAGTGTCTGGAAGATGATAGAGAGACACACAGTTTGTAGTAGTAGAGAGGGACTTTGAGTGTGGCAGTCCTTTTTGGTTTGGTGCCCCAGAAGAAAGCATGCTTTTGGAGATACTGATGAAAAGAGAAGATCACCTAGTTGCTCTTCAACATCTCTGAGCTACCAGGTGTTCACCCTAGCCTCTGACTCCTGAATCTTAATGACAAATAGAATGGTAGATATTTATATACAAGTACCATTATTGGAGAGGCCAAATCCCAGCCCAGAAGCAGCCTCAGAGGAAGGCTGGAGCTTCAGGCCTAATGGTGAGTACTGATCAGCAGGTGAAATAACAGCACTGGTTTCCAGAAGTCATCTTCTAAAGAAGCAGTCTTTTCTCCAATAGTATCTTTGTAGAGTTCTAAAGTATGTAACTCTGACTGTGTGCATTTATTTTTGAAAGCTCATCTGTATTCTATGGCTTTATAAATGTGTTTCATGCCATTATCATGTAGTGTTTGTTACTTTGGCTCTACAATATCTTTGGAGATTAGGTTGACAATCAGTGGCCTTGACATCATGAAGAATATGAGGTGATGAAGGCAGAAAAAAGTGATCTTTTATGCATCTAGATTGACAAAAGATTTTATTTGACAGATCAAAATGTGATTGCACAATTGGCTGTCTGTTAACCAGCCTTATATATAAACAATGTCTTTTCACTCCTCATAAGGGTTCTCACTACAACATATGATTTCATCATATATTACTCTGGGGAACCAGGTAATTTATTGGGCTTCTTTACAACACATAGACCAGGAATTATTGGCAGGAATGTGGGTGACTGGGAGCAGCCACTCAGGAAACTATTCACCCAGCATGAAAGATGGCTCCCCCATAGACACATGGAATGAGCCCCCTCCCTAATCTTTCTGAGCATATACTCTATTGGGTTCTGCCAACCATCAGGCTGTGTGAAATTAAGGAAAATTTTATACAACTGGATGGGAGGAGTGGCTGGATTCTCTGGTGAGGGTCCAAGGACTTTCTTATTCTCTCTGTTTATGTGGGGATATCAACATTCCATTCCGGTAGAAGTAAGATAACTAGAATATAATACAATCCAAGTTATCCATATGTGCATCCTGTAATTTCTTTTCTCCTAGAGAAAATTCTCTCTTGTCCTTTGGTGATAATTTTCTTGAACCATTTAAGTCCTCATTGCGTTGTGAGGTTTGAAATAAATTACTTAGCTCTTAAGTAAGTAATTTATTGCAAACCTTAGCCAGTTAGCATCTCCCAACATTTTGAAATGCATTAAGAGTTTGTAATGGATCTCTCCTGATTTGTAATGTATTGGTCAAATTTTCTGTAAATCTCTCTCATATCCTAGATAAGTGATAGACTCTTACCTGTGTATTTTTTTCAGGAGCAATTTGTAATCTCCAATAAGGCAAAATTCTCTTTACTTCACCAGATATTTTTTCTAAGGGATCTGCATCTAATTCTGCCAGTAAGATATCATCCATATAATGGTAAATGATAGATTGAGGAAACTGTTTATAAATTATTTCTAATGGCTGTTGTACAAAATATTGACACAAAGTGGGGCTGTTTAACATTCCTTGTGGAAATACCCTCCAATGGAACCTTCTGACATGTTGAGAATTATAATTAGGTACTGTGAATGCAAACTTTTCTTTATCCTCAAATCTAGCATTTCTATAGGATTCCATTTAACTTCTTGATAGCCTTGGTGGTGCCTATCATTTGCTGGCAGTTCTTGTATAGGGACTGGATGAACTAAGGTTGGTTTTCTAATAACCATGGGCCTCCCTTCTTCAGTTTCATCATGCAGTCATTCGGTGTGTTCTTGTCTAAATTCCTGTCTGTGTCTTATTTTCATTAGTAAGTCTTTCTAAGGCTTGTATCCTATCAGTCAACTTTTTATATTTGGCATAGCTATCAAACCACTTTTTAAGGCTAAAATATGAATTAGCAGACTGATAGTAATTACATTTGGTATCATTATGAATACCAGCTAAGTCATTTATCCATTCATTTACTGCTTTCATTTTCAACCCATCCAAAGTACAAATTCTTGACTCCCTGTATTGTGATATTTCCCATTCTTAACCTAGAAATGTGTTGGGCATGGAAATCAGGATGTTTGACCAGTATGATGAAGAGGAGTTTACTGGGAAAAAATAACTTACACAGGAAGCCAGTGACAGTCGAGGGATCCTGCTCCAAGCATGCAGACTTTGCCACCTGGATGTTCTTCTCTACCCCAAGAAGGGGCTTTCAGAGCACCAATTAATCCTTCTAACTGGTCAGGATCACACTACAAGTGCTGCGGTGAATATCTCACTACAGGAACGATCTTTATTTTTAATATTATTTAAGTCTTTCCTTAATGATTTCACAGTGTCTCACCAAATCTGATGACTTCTTAGTTTTTCTGTCACAGTGGCAGTGATGGTAGCACCAGCAGAAATGGTGATCTAGATAGTGTGACCTCTCTGTCAATATGATCATGCCAAATGCTGTAGCACCAACTTTTCCTTTAAACTAAATCTCAGTCCTATGATTTTACCAATAAGGACTTGGGAGTCAGATGCAGGGGTGAACACATGCTAGATCAGAGAGGCTGATGAGCAACCAGCCTGAGTTTACTTAACACTGTCTCAAGATTCACAATGTGATCAGTTATCCTGCAACACAGTAGTGAGTGTTTGTCAAACATGCTCTAGACCCTGTGTTCCACCCCAGACCCCACAAATGAATGGAAGATAAAAATAGGATCATGGGAGCCTAGGAGAGCTGCCCAGTCAGAAATTGAAATGCCACCCTTTTTCCCTCACACTGCCGTCAAGGCCCTTACTCCTTACCATTCTCTGTTCATCATGTTCAGCTACAAGTATGATGTTCAGCTCATTACTGCCATAGGGAAGCAACAAACTCCTGGTGGATATCCCTTTTATACAGGTCCTCTTAAAAGCAGAATTCTTAAAAAACATTTGCACAAGTTTCTTCTCATTCTGTTATGGATGGATAAATATTAAATGGAAACAAGACACTCTGAGCACATTTAACAGGAACATTTCCCTGAAAAATTTTTCTGGTTGAATTTCTAGAACATTCTGGTTTAGACAGTATGTGTCCCCATAGGACAGTTTAATTTGGAGAGGTAGAACTGAGAGGGAAGTCTTTAGGTCACTGAGATATGAAAGAAAGTAGGGACTGTGGGGAATCTTTCTATAATTTCCTAGTCTTGAAGTAAACCATTTTTGGTCCATACCCTGCTACCATGCCTAAACCATGGACTGCTCTCATAGTAACAAAGAATTTTTAAAACTGGGTCATGGGAACCTTTTCATTAGATCATTGTTGTTTTAGTTAGATATCCAGTGCTGTGATAAAGAGAATAAATGAGGAATTTTTCCTCTCACACTTCTTGGTAACAGCTCATCATTGAGCAAAATCAAGGTAAGAATTTAAACAGGGTAGGAGCCTCAAGGGCGGAACCTGAGAACTGAGGTAGAAGCCATGCTTACTGGCTAGCTCTTAGAGATTCCCAACCTACTTTCTTTTTTTTTAACTGATTCTTGTTGTTCATGGTTCATTTTTTCTTTTTAATTAATTAATTAGTTAATTTTACATCCCTACCACAGTTTTCCTCCTCTTCTGTCCTGCCATCTCCCTTCTGCCTCCACAACTCCACTCCTCTTCTGTTTCTGTTCACACAGAGGCACTTCCCAAGGAGATCAACAAAGCATGGCGGCAGCAAGACTGAACCTCCCCTTGTATTAAGGCTGGGCAAGGTAATCCAGTATGAAGAATAAGTTAAGACCTATAGACCAAATGGTATACTGTGAGACTCACTATGGCTTCCATGATGTGATTTTTTAGGGATAGCCTCTGTTGCCATTGTTAAGAGTCCCACAAAGAAATCAAGCTACACTATACTCACATATATATGGAGGACTGAGGTTGGCCCCATGCAGGCTTCCTGGTTGTTGGTTCAGACTCTGTGAGTTCCTATGCGTCAGGTTAGTTGATTCTGTGGGTTTTATTATGATGTTCTTGACCCCTCTGCCTCCTACAATCTCTCTCCTCTCTCTCTCTTCAGCAGAATTCCCTGTGTTTAGCCTAATGTTTGGCTGTGGGTTTCTGCCTCTGTTTCCATCAGTCAATGGATGAAGCTTCCATGATGGTAATTGGACTAGGTACAAATTTATGAGTATAGAAAAATACTTTTAGACATTATTACAGTGACTTTTTGTCAGTCATGTTTATTCCTCTCCTAGGACTCTGACCATTAAGCCTCTTGGTCCTGGTCCTACAGGCAGTATCAAGGGTAGGGTCACTCTCATGGGATGGGTCTGAAGCTAGAATAATCATTGGTTGGCCACTCCCAAAATATCCGCATCACCCTTACCCCAGCGCATCCTGTAGGCAGGACAAACTGTTATGTTAGTCAAAGGTTAGTCAAAGGTTATACAGCTAAGTTAGTGTCCCAATCCCTCCACTAGAAGTTTTGCTTGGTCACATTAATTATTAACAATTAATAAATGGGACCTCATGAAACTAAAAAGATTCTTTAAGGCAAAAGACACAGTCAATAGGACAAAATTACAGCATACAGAATAGAGAAAGTTCTTCACCAATCCCACATCTGAGAGAGGGTTGATTTTTAAAATATATAAACAACTCAAGAAACTAGATATCAAAAAACCAAATAATCCATTTCTAAAATATGGTACAGATATAAACAAAGAATTTTCAACAGAAGAATCTCAAATGAACGACACTTGAAAAATGTTCAACAACCTTTGTCATAAGGGAAATGCAAATCAAAATGACACTGAGATTCTATCTTGCACTTGTCAGAATGACAAAGATCAGA